TGGGTCAGTCCAGAACCCAGAGCTCTCTCTTTAGTCTCAGTCCAGATGCTTCTCCTCCTTCCAAAAGCCCACACTTAACCCCAAGGGCCCGCACCCGCCCCGTCCTTTGTTCTTGTTCTTGGCAAACACTGTCACCTGGCCTCCTCCTCAGCCCTTTGTTTTCCAGGTGGTCACAACCGGGCTTCCTGCAGAGGATGGGTCTCATTAGTTGCTAGGTTCCAAATGTCCAGGCACTCCCCATAGGCATGGAGCCCAGACAGCCAGGTGTTAGTCAAACCTGGATCTCTGCAGAGTACACAACCTTTTCCCCCACCTCTTTAACCATGCAGCTCATAGGGGAAACTGAGGCACACACATTACAAATCATGGGGAGAGGTGATTGGTGGGTGATGCTGAGAAAGACCAGGTGATGGTCGGAGAAGGGGAATTTGCACCGGAGAGCTCAGAGAGCAGGGCTTGGTGAACCCAAGTCCAGTGCATGGCCCTTTTGGAGAGTGGGGGAGCTGACCCAGGGCGGCCGGGTGAATGCAGAGGGGAGGGTGAGGAGATGGGGAGCAGAGGGTCGGATGGGCCATCGACTTGGAAGCTGAAGTTACCGAGGACGAGTGTGGGAAGCTGAGGAAAGGAAGGGAGAGCCGGGTGGGCATCAGAGAGGGTGACTGAGGGGAGGAGCGCGGTGGATGGTAGACGACAGCAGTGACAGCAGTGTAGAGAGAAGAAAGGAGAGAAGTTAGGTGCAGGGCCATGCAAAAGAAGAGATGGAGTGAGGAAGGGAGAGGGAGGGACTGGAAGCAGCAGGCGAGTGGGGAGCAGAGGCCGCTGCAGGGCAGTGTCAGAGGGAGGGAGCCAGGTCTCTGAGAGGCAGGATCAGATTCTGCTCCATGGTGTCCCTGTTGCTCCCGTCACTGCAGTGTCCAAGGGCTAGAGCCGTAAAGGGGTGTAGGTGCCTAAATCCCAGAATCAGGCCCCCCGGGGTTCACAGAGCCCCCCCCCGGCTGCTGCTGAGCCCTGTAGGTGCCTGAACTCACTTGGCACCTTTGTTTGTGCAGTAACAGTTCCCTCTGGATCTGTGTTCCTGCCTCTGGGCCTGCGCCCTGCAGCTTCCCGCTTGGTACCCGAACGCCTGAGCCCCAGAGCAATGCATGGACCGAAGGACAACAGGTATCCTCCACCTAACTCGTCTGTGGGCCCGATGCGGTGGGTGTGCTCAGGCCGCTTGCTTGATCAGACCCGCACATGAGCTCACACAACAGTGTGGGAGGAGCCCAGTGGTTTGGGCATTGCCTGGGGTATGGGAGACTCCTGGTTCCAGGCCCCCTCTGCCTGCAGGAAAGACTGGATTTCAGCAGGGTTCTGCCACCTCACAGGGTGCCCTAGTCCCTGAGCTGTGGGGCACTCTGCTGTGGGATCCCCTCTGTTGCTCCTGTGGGAGCTGTTCGTCTGGGGAGAACTAGAACTGGGCCAGAGAGCAGGGGCATGAGAATGGCTCCAACCACCTGGCTACAGAGCCATTCACCCGGGAGATGGAGACCCTGGGTCCAGTCCCTCTGCTCCACTGACTCTAATTAGTTAGCTAGGGATGAGCAGCGTCAGCAGCCCTGCTCGCTGGATCAGGCCGTCTGATTGTGACTGAAGGGGAGTGAAATGGACAGTGGCTGGTGCTGGCAGGAGGGATGCAGGGCGTTCGGCAGCCGAAGGAACTGAGGGGAAGAAAAGGGGAGAGCTCTGTCCCCGTTAGATCCGTCTGTTCTTCAGCTCATACATAAGCCAGGGCAGGGCTGTGCCTGTTGTGTGTGTCCAGCGCCCAGCACGGGGGGGCTCTTGTCTGTAACTGGCAATTAGGAACTATGGAACAAGGCCCCGATTCTGCAAACACTTTGTGTCACATTACTGAGGTGAGGGAAGGCTGTGTGAGTGAGTGAGGGTCCACACTGAGAGTCTGCAGGATCTGAGACTAAATGACTCCTGAGACACTGAGGAACTAACAGGACCAAATAAGTCACCAGTCTGCATCAGCCTGACCCTCCAGACGTGTGTGTAACTCCTCTGAGCCATGTGTGATGTCAGTGGGATGCTCACATGGGTGAAGGGATCAGGGATTCAGTCTCTGGATCATCAGGCCCTTTTGGAGCTGTCGTCCTTCCCCATCCCCTTTGGCCCTGATTCTGCCTGTGGATCTGTGGGGACGGGGGATCAGCCCGTGAACTCTGTGGGGCAGGGCCTGTGCAGTGAATGGCACAACAGGGGGCCCGATCCCTACAGGGGACCTGGTGTGCATCCACAGCATGAATAAGTTAAGTCCAAAGCAGATTGTGAAGAGTTACAAAGGGGGTTACAGTGGACGAGCAGCTGGATATGAGTCAGCAGTGTGCCCTTGTTGCCAAGAAGGCTAATGGCATTTTGGGCTGCATTAGTAGGAGCATTGCCAGCAGATCAAGGGAAGTGATTATTCCCCTCTATTTGGCACCTCTCTCCAACTGCATCCAGTTTTGGTCCCCCCACTACAGAAAGGATGTGGACAAATTGGAAAGAGTCCAGCGGAGGGCAATGAAAATGATTAGGGGGCTGGGGCACATGACTTATGAGGCTGAGAGAACTGGGCTTATTTAGTGTGCAGAAGAGATGATTGAGGGGGAATTTGATAGCAGCCCCAACTACCTGAAGGGGGGGTTCCAAAGACGATGGAGCTCGGCTGTTCCCAGTGGTGGCAGATGACAGAACAAGGAGTAATGGTCTCAAGTTGCAGTGAGGGAGGTCTAGGTTGGATATTAGGAAACACTATTTTACTAGAACGGTGGTGAAGCACTGGAATGTGTTACCTAGGGAGCTGGTGGAATCTCCATCCTTAGAGGTTTTTAAGACCCATCTTGACAAAGCCCTGGTTGGGATGATTTAGTTGGGGTTGGTCCTTCTTTGAGCAGGGCGTTGGACTAGATGATCTCCTGAGGTGTTTTCCGACTCTAATCTTCTATTATTCTATGATCTTACAAAACTGGGTGATTGGGCAACAAAATGGTAGGTGAAATTCAGTGTGGATAAATGCAAAGTAATGGACATTGGAAAACATAATCCCAACTATACATATAAAGTGATGGGGTCTAAATTAGATGTTACCACTCAAGAGAGATCTTGGAGTCATTGTGGATAGTTTTCTGAAAACATGCACTCAATGTGCAGTTTCAGAGGGGTAGCCGTGTTAGTTTGTTTCAGCAAAAATAATGAGGAGTCCTGTGGCACCTTAAAGACTAACAAATTTATTTGAGGATAAGCTTTCGTGGGCTGGAACCCACTTTATCAGATGCATACACAAAAGCTTATGCTCAAATAAATGCGTTAGTCTTTAAGGTGCAACAGGACTCCTCGTTTTTTCAATGTGCAGTGGCAATCAAACAAGCTAACAGAATTTTGGGAATCATTAGGAAAGGGATTGATAATAAGATAGACAATATCATATTGCCTCTATATAAATCCATGGTACACCCACATCTTGAATACTGCATGCAGATGTAGTCATCCCATCAGAAAAAAGATATATTGGAATTGGAAAAGGTACAGAAAAGGGCAACAAACATGATTGGGGTATGGAACGGCTGCTACATGAGGAGAGATTAAGATTGGAACTTTTCAGCTTGGAAAAGAGACGACTAAGGGGGATATGATGAAAGTCTGTAAAATCAAGACTAAGGCTATGTTTTTTTCACAGAGGTCGCGGAAGTCACGAAATCTGTGACTTCCAGCAAACTCCATGTCTTCAGCCCGCGGCGGCCGGAAACTGTGGGGTCCCCCTGCCACCTGTAGCAGCCGGTAGCAGCGGGGGGGCTCCATGGGCTGTGGGGGGATCAACTGCTCCCAGTTGCTGTGCGCGGCAGGGGGACCCCGGAACTCTGAGTGGCCTGCAGTTGCCTAGTTCCTGCAGACGGGGTGTGGGTCACGCAGCTGAGCTCCCCATTTTGCCATGGATATTTTTAGTAAAAGTCACGGATAGGTCACAGGCTTCTGTGAGCTTTTCTTTGTTGCCAGTGACCTGTCCAGTACTTTACTAAAAATATCCATGACAAAATCATAGTCTTCATCATGCATGACTGGTCTGGAGAAAGTGAATACCGAAGTGTTATTTACCCCTTCACGTAACACAAGAACTAGGGGTCACCCAAGGAAATTAGTAGGCAGCAGGTACACAGTCAACCAGTGGAACCCCTTACTAGAGGATGTTGTGAAGGTCAAGACTATAACATGATTCAAAAAAGAATTAGCTAAGTTCATGGAGGATAGGTCCATCAGTGGTTGTTAGCCAGGATGGGCAGGGATGGTGTCCTTAACCTCTGTTTGCCAGAAGCTGGGAATGGGCGACAGGGGATGGATCACTTGATGATTACCTGTTCTGTTCATTCCCTCTGGGTCACCTGGCGTTGGCCACTGTCGGAAAACAGGATACTGGGCTAGATGGACCTTTGGTCTGACCCAGTGTGGCCGTTCTTATGTTCTGAATAAATGATAGTAAATTGTGTGCACAGCCGGTGTCCTGGCTCCCACCTGTAGCTTGGACACATCCCGCTGCCCACCTTGCCTTCCCCAGCTTCAGCTCCTCCATCTCCTATTCCCAGTCCTCCTGCCCCACCCTCTCCCATAACACCCCCTTCCTTTTCCCCACATGGCACTCCAGCCCTGCCCCTCCTCCTGGGCCCCCTTTCCTTCTTCACATTCCCCTGTACCCCCAATACACTCTCCCCATATGCTCCCCTACTCCTCACACATGCTCCAGCCCCCCTGTACCTCCCCACCCCTTCCCCTCCTCACTCCCCCTCCAGCCCTGCCTCCCTTTCTCCTTCTACCCCACCATCGCTTTCTCCCCGGTCAGGCCGTTCTGTGAGCCCTTTCCCAGGTCTCCCTCCCACAGGAGCACTCCTGAGGGCCAGCACCGCCTCTCGTGTATTGCCAGGGGCTCCCTGGCAGGGTCTGGTTGGATCTGACTCCCCCTTCCCCCAATCTCCCCCCCTCAGGCCTGCACTCCAGGCGCATATTGGACACGGTGGTGTCGGAGCCTGGCCTGGGGCGGCCCTGGTACAGCCGTGTTGTGTACGTGGACGATCAGGTCATCTACGTCTACACCAGCGAGATGCAGAGGGCAGAGCCCCGCCCAGTGTGGATGGCACAGAACGAGGGTCCGGAGTTCTGGGATGAGATGACCTGGTGGGCACAGCGCCACCAGAAATGGTTCAGAGCGAGTCTGAACACCCTGGGTCAGCTCTACAATCAGAGCAAGGGTGAGTGAAGGATACGACCCGACCTAGGGATGCAGGGACATGGGATGGGGGGGTGCGGTTGATGTAAACAGGGTGAAGGGACACAGGGATGCGTGTTGGGAGTTGGGGGAAAGGACAGATCCATCAGGGGCATTTTCTCGCTGGAGTCAGTGTGAATGTGGGGGACAAAGGGACATGGGGTGGGGGGGGAGGGGCTGCAGGATGGAGGGTCCACTTTGGAGGGAGACATTTTTTGACACCCTCCAAAGAGGGACTCTCACACTGTCCCCTCCCCAAACATCCCAGATTTGTGCTACCAGTCCCACTTGTAGCTGCCTCTGCTGCCCTTCGGGGGACCCTCCGCCCCTCGTGTGTGGTTATTTCCCAGGCACAGTGGCAGAGGTGCGAAAGCCAGAAGTTCCCATCAGACCCAGTTAGTCTGACCTCCTGGTCACCCAGGCCAGAGAATCGCACCCAGCGATTCCTGCATGGAGGGGTTTGTTCCTCCCGGCTACGACAGTGACGCTGTCAGACCCTGGAGCTAGAACAGGGCTCTGAGACGTCTTGTCTCAATTCCCAGACACCGAGTGATGGGGAATCCCAATATCGACAGCCCCAAGTGTTCAGACCTAACAAGTCAGGCCCCAAAAATCCTGAGTTTGGCTTAAATGTCATGAGTATTTTGGGAATAATATTGGAGCTTATTTTTATTTGCCCTCTGGTTTGAGCCATTAGGGGACAAATTTCCAGGGTTTTCCCTGCTGCTAGAAGGGTTAGAAGTTACTGCTGTAAGAAAAGAGAGCTGAGGCTAGGTCTACACTACGGGAGGGGGTCGATCTAAGATACGCAACTTCAGCTACGTGAATAGCGTAGCTGAAGTTGAGTATTTTAGGTCGACTTACCTGGCTGTGAGGACGGCGGTGAGTCGACCGCTGCCGCACCGCCATCGACTCCACTTCTGCCTCTTTCCGCGGTGGATTTCCGGAGTCGACAGCAGAGCGATCAGGGATCGATTTTATCGCGTCTTCACTAGACGCGATAAGTTGATCCCCAATAGATCGATTGCTACCCGCCGATCCGGCGGGTAGTGAAGATGTGCCCTTAGACTCTCCCCTAATCCCATGAGTCCAGGAACTGGGGATTTAAAAAAAACCCTGCTATCATGAGACACACAGTAAAGTCACAAGTGCTGGCAGTGCTGCATTCACCCCAGCCTTGGGGAGACGGTGCTCACCGGTGAGCCTCCTTCATTGTTTGCTTTGTCTTATTTCCCAAGTGAGTTTATCTAAGGTCAGACTCCACAGAGTGAGGGTCTGACATTGACTTGGGCTGGAGAGTTAGTGAGAGAATCAGCCCCTGTAATGTGCAGAGACTCCCGGGCTTCCTTACTCCTGGCAGCACAAACCCCAGCACGTGTCCCCCGGTTGGAGCCCCCGGGGTCAGGCAGGTTCCCCTGCGCACTATCGATAGATGTGTAAAGAGACATTCTTCCTGCTCAGTCCCTGATGTGGTGAGCTGTAGCCATGTGGCCAGGCCCCCGGATTGTGCTGTCTCACTTAGCATGATGATGATCCATAAGCGTTCAGTACCTGACGCTGTTGGACTGTCCATGGCAGGTGAGGGTCTCTCTGATGTAATTGCTGTGCCCTTCCTGGCAGGGGACTGGCGAGTGAAAATCCCTGATTCCCCCGTGTCAGTGGTATTGGCCTGTCGCATTGGTCCTCACAGAGGAGTGTCCCCAGCCTCTTGTTGTAACACCCTCCCCCCCCCATCCCTCCTGGCTCCCAGCACTGAGACAGCAGCAATGAGAACTAATTCCCATCCTGCCCTGGACACCTGGGTTCCTCGTGGCCCTGCCCCAGGACTAAGCGACAGGGCGGAGGATTGCCAAGTGTCTGTCCCCCTAGTGCGCCCCCTCTGTAGCTAGTTTAACCCTCTCCTGACTAGTCTCACCCATTGGTCCCCTGTTGCTGAGTCTGTCCAGCCTGACCTGCTCATACGGACACCGGCCTCCCCAGTGCTGAGAGAGGGGTTCCGCTCGCCTGCCCCTAAGCCTGCGCTGGGGAGCTGCTGTTCTGTCCCCTCTGCTCCCTCCCCAACCACTGTCCTGACTGCCCCCTCCTGCCCTCCTCCCCCCATTTACCCCCTCCTCACAATCCTGGGGCTGCCAGCTCGCCGGAGACTGTCCTGAGTCCTGCATCTTGGCCACCAACAGTGTTCCCCTCTCTAGCTGCGTCTGCCCCCAACACGCACATGGGGGAATTCGAGGTCTGGTCCCTCTGAGACCCCATTGGTGCCTGCACCCTGCTCATCCCTGTGGAGTGCAGCACAGAGGAGAAGAGGGGTGGGTGGAGCTGCCTGACCCACCCCACTCCTCTTGGGCGCCTGGCTTGGGATCTCTGCGTGTTCTGTGACCAGCCGCTCCGCACCTCTCAAGAGTCTCAGTGGTTCTCTCGTTACTCCATCCCTTTTCCCCTCTGTTGTTTTTTCACTTTTTGACTTTAGTTGATTGGTATAAATAGTTAGTTGGACTCTTGTAGCAGAGTTTCTTTGCTCCTGAAACTGGGCATGCCTCGGTCTCCGGGCTTGAAATGTGGTGCCTCCTGTGGCCAGCCCATGCCTTTGAGCGACCTGCACTCTAGCTATTTAAAGTGCTTGGATGAGACTCCTATTGCGGATCTCTGTCAGCTCTGCCACCAGTTCAGTCCACATATGAAAAAGGACAGGGAGGCCAGGATGAAGTCCCTCCTGATGGAAGCAGCGCTCAAACCTTCTTCAGAGCCGAGCCAGTCAAACTTGGCACCGTGTACCTCAGTGTTGGTACAAAGAGCTGCTGCAGAGAGAGTCCATACGGGACTCTTGGCACGGTTCCCCATCACCAGTGCCAAGAAAGAAACATAAGAAGCAGCTGTCTGGGAGGTTCCCCATCTCTAAGAAAGGACAATCATGGGGAGTGTGACCTGTGTCTGGCCACTCCTCTGCCGCTGCTCCACAGGCTATACCGTCGACTCCGCCCTGTTCACAGGCTCTGAGTCCAGTACCCGACCAGCCGCTGGCACCAGAGGGGCAGTGAGGCACCAGCAGGCTTGCGGTACCATTCATCCCAGAGGTGTCTGTGGTGGCCAGGGACTTGCTGGGATGTTCGCTACCACCATTACTGGCAGTACAACACTTGATGCCAGCAGTGCGGGCAAGTAGAAGAGAGCATGATGCCCCGAGCTCCTGTTTGGTACCAGGCCCCTTGCTCTCTGCTTATGTTGAAGCAGCTCCCCATCTCAGCACCGATCCCCGGATCATCAGCACCGTTCCTTGGAGCCGACAGGTACCACACTCCCCTCATCCCCACAAGATGGACTCATCATTCAAGTTGGAGTTTGAATCTTGCACTCAGCTGAGGGACTGGTACCAGTAGCCCACCAATCAGCCCTATGCGATGGTGGATCCCGGGGTGGGGGTTCCTCCAATCACCTGCCCCAGTTGGCAATGACCCATGCAGATATAATGGCCTTTTCGGAACCCCTGGGATTTTCCTCTGCTTCCTGCCTCCCCCCCCCCAAATGTAGATGCTCCTACTCAGTGGTGTCTGAGAGAAGGATTTCTCTGTCACACCGAACAGCAGCTGATCCTGACTACGATATTGAGCCAGCTACTGACTCTCAGAACCTGGAACTACGGGATCCAGTTGGTGCAGAAGGAGAGGAGGAAGGTCCCATGCTGGTGCAGGCTTCCCCTTCCTCCTCTCCAGAAGAGGCAGGGATGGGTGTTTCACCGCCCCAGGACACTTCAGGGCTCTCCAGGAGTTATGGAAGAAGGTGGCCTCGAACATAGGGCCGGAAGTGGAGGTTGTAAAAAAGTCCTCCAACAGCCTGGTCAACAACTGGGCTGTGGTGGCCCCATCAGAGATAGCTCTGCCTCTCAATGAGGTCATCATCGGTCCAGTTAAAATCCTGTGGGAGACTGTGACAGTTTACGCTCCTAGGGTCAGGGCAGTGCGGCCTAGCGGCCAGAGTCTATGGGGGTGGGGCGCCCACCAAGGGCAGTGGCGGCCCCAGTAGGGGGGCCCGGGCCCCCCTGTCTCCACCGGATCCCAACCCAGGGCCCTAACAGTGTCATAGCACCTTACCACTGACTCAGCGGGGGGGTCCTACCGAAACATGCTGGCCAAGGAGGCTCTGATTCCCAGCGCAGTCAGGGGCTGTGGCTGGCCCTCCGCAAGAGCTTCCCAGACAGGCTTCCTCCCTTTATATTGCTAGAGCATTTGGAGCATGCCCAGTCCCACTGGGGAGGCGGGACTTCCGTTGTCAATAATATGGACTTAACCCTGTCTGGGCTAGTGCGGGGTAAGCAGACCCCGTCACACACCCTCCCCCTTAAGAAGGACCCCCGAGGGCGGTCCGTCTCCTCTTCCTCCCCTCCCTGTCTAGAAAAGAAATCCACGTTAGCGTGGGTCTTACCTGAACGGTGAAATACACAGAAGTCGTAGGGTTGGAGTGAGAGGTACCAGCGCATAATCCGGGGGTTCGTGTCCTTCATGCTGTGTATCCACCTGATGGGGGGCATGGTCAGTGATCAATTTGAAGGTGTTCCCCAGCAGGTAATAGCGCAGGGCATCAATAGCCCATTTCACGGCCATGGCCTCTTTATTGTTGAGTAATGTTGTTCTCGAGGAAATAATTTCCAACTTAGATACAGTACTGGATGTTCTTCCCCCTCCAGCTTTTGGGAGAGTACGGCCCCTAAGACTACTTCTGAGGCATCCGTTTGGAGTATGAACTCCTGTGTAAAGTTGGGGTGTCACAGGACCAGTTCCTGCGTGAGTTGCTCTTTTAGAGTCCTGAAGGCCTCGTTGCACTGGCCAGACCATTGCACCTGTCGTGGCTGAAAGTTCTTTGTCAGGTCCGAGAGGGGAGCGGCTATGGACACGAAGTCTGGTACAAAACGGCGATAGTACCCAGCCAGCCCCAAAAACTGGCGTACCTGTTTCTTCGTCTTGGGTGTGGGTGTATCCATAAGGGCTTGTA